AAAAAAAAATTGTACACAATTTACAATGGTAAGATTCAAATCTGCTTGCTGCAGTTGTTCAGTAATCTAATACATTATATTTAATAGCCTTACAGTGAACCCATATAACCACATAATATCCAGTATTATTCAGTTTGATGAAATTTAAATAGAAGGGCTAAATACAGAAAACATTTTCTCCAGTGGAATTAACTGAATAAATGTAAATATGACAAATATGGACACAACTCATTGCCCTAAACTGCTTCTAGATTCAATCAAGGACAAAAACATCCTATGCATATGTGCTACTGAGTCAAATACTTATAACCAGAGCAAAATTTAGAAGCATTACATTTACTTAGACTGAAAGGGTACAGGAGCCTAGGCTATACATTCTCCAAAGGGATATTGTCTTATTCTTAGTGAGTTATAGATTTTGAAGCCAGGAAGTATTCAAGATTGAAAAAGTCAGTAAATCCACTATTGCTATAAAGTTCCTAAAAGCCAGTCTTGCACATATGGGTCTTAAAGTGAAATTTTGTGTTAACAACCCCCTGCAGAAAAATACTACCATCCAATTTGAGAGTTCATAGATCCTATAGGCCAACAAGACCGTTTTACATCATCTCACAGTGTCTGTCCAGGTTTGCAGAAAACACCAATATTTACCTTATAAGAAAGATTGTTAAATGGTAATTGAAAGCTGAGTGCAATTATTGTGACATGGTGCATGTAGAAGGTCTTTTATAACTTTAATTTCCTCATGCTTGGTACTTTCATGACTGGGAGATGGCAACTGGTCAGTTCTGGACTTCCCAGTTATTTACTGTGCCCTTGGAGGATGAATGGAACTAATAGTCCTTTGTGCACTTGGCATTGAATAAGCTAATACATTTTGTGGTAAACAATCACAAAGCGATTGCTGAATTTCCGTGTATGTTCATGATAAACTGATACTGACTTACTGCTAGTTTATGGCTCTGACACCTCTTTGTTTCCTTCTGTCCATGTGTTCCTGGAGCACTTAACTTCTTTGTTAAGAGGGAGCAGGCATCTTAGCTTGGTATGTTTCACACCCCTAACAAAGCTCACAGAACAGGAAAG